GAGGTCCACGGTCTGCTGGACTTCAGCTGACCTGACGATCTGCTGAGGGCCACCTCCTCCCATCCAGCCACCTGGGCTCTGTGCTCCTGTAGTCATCTGCACCGTGGCTGCCAGAGAGACTGGAACCCTCTCCTGAGCAGCGGCTTTTCTTTGGGGTGGGGGCGGGGGTGGGAATGCTGAGCCCATGTAAAACCAAATGCAGGTCGACCAGAGGATAGACCAGCAGAAGGCTCTCCGGAGGCTTTAATTAAGCCAGCATGAAATTGCAAGCAGCAGGATCCTACCATCCCTATTATTCTTTGTTACTAATAAGAACCACCTCCTAGAAGGAAATTAATCATAATACACAAGTCAAGCATAAATTTAATTAAACATACTTTGCCGAAGCTGTAGCAGTCTTCTCTACCATTTTTTTAGTTTTTAGAGGGTTTTTTTTTCATTTTTTTTAACTGCTTACTGCTTCAGCAACAGGAATCACACCATGTGCTTTTTAAAGTTCCAGCCGTAGAGATATCACCCCGTTGATATTCCTATGAACAGAACATTAAAAAAAAACACCACATGATTTCCAGCCCTGGAGGAAGAGAAACAGCAATTCCAGCAGGATTCCAAGTTGGGTTCAAATAACCGTGAATGTTCTTGCCCTTAATCCTGTGCTGTTTTGGAAAAAGAAAAGAAAAGAAACCGATCTTTGTTTCTCAGATGAAAGATCTGTCATCATCGTAACTCGCCACTGGGTGGGATGAGGAAAGGCAGTAGGGATTCTGGTAGGTCTGCTCTGGAACTTGTTTTTTTAAATACATATATAGCTTTTATTGAAGAAAATGTTTTACAAAGTTAAAAGCTACAGAAAAATAAAAAAATAATATAGAAAAGAGAAAAAGACATAAAAAAGTATAAAAGAAAGATAGAAGAAAAAGGGTTAAGGTTAGGGTATAAATCAAGAAAAGAGAAAGAAAGAAAAATTAAAGAAATGACTTCCGATCTTCTCTGCAGTAGTTACAAACATAATTAATGCTGTTTCTGCCCTCCCAAATTACTTAACATAATTCCCTTCTTCCCATATACAGCCCTTTTGGATCAGTGAATTCAGAGGTCACCAGTTCGTTTTTATCCATTTTCAGCAAAAAGTCCATAAAGGGTTTCCAGTCGGGCTGCTCTGGAACTTGCGTGTGCAGACAACCAGGCTAACTGGTCCTGCAGGCCAAACCTGTGAAATGCAGATGTGGGGTAGTGCTTTTCACACCGATATATTTTCCTCCTAACTCCAGGAAGGGAGGTGTAACTGCATGTGGGAAAGCCCTTGGGAGACAGGCAAAGAGACGCTGCCAAGGGAACGGTCCGATAAGAGGGCATCGCCCGCAGCTGCATAATGGGCAGAGAAAGAGGCTCAGAAGGGACCCTCCCTAGTTTCTGTAAAGGAGACGGTGGGAGATTTGTACTTTCAGACTTGCAAGATTGATGTCAGCCTTACCAGGTAGACCAGACAGAAATGAGCGAATTCTACTTTATTGTAAAGCTGCATTAGCAGAATCATCTCAAAGCTGCCAAGTTTGAAAAGCACCGCTGTAGAGATTGTGGGGATGCTGTTCTTCCTGCCCCTTCCCGCCGCCTTTTCACTTTCTTTTCCCTCCTCCCAGATCCACACCCAGGCAGAGGCTAGCAAATTTTATCAAAAGGCCCCTGTTTTCTTGAGCTGCATCTCCCTCCATCAGATGCATAGGATGGCTAGACCCCTGGCGAAGGGAGATGCGGCTCACGAAAGCCCCTTCCAGGCCCAGGTCTCTGTGGCTCTTCTGAAGAGCCATGGCTCCCTTCCTGCAGTGTTCCCCACTCCTCAGTTTTCCCACCATCTGTCGAAACAAATGATCGTTCCCAAGTCAGCATTCTGGTGGCGTGGTGGTGTTGGTGCTTTGAGAAATGCTTTAATTTGCTTCCCAGAGAGGAGGGGTCTTGCCGTGCCTCCGCGAGATCCGCCATTGGGCTTCTCCTCCTCCTCCTAATCGTCTTCCACCGAGAATGTGCCATTTTCCCTTTAGGTGTGACTGACCTGATGGAACAGTGAGCGATTCCCCTCTTAGAGAGGCTACCTGCAGCGTCTCTGTACGAATCCTCGTTCTGCATTTCTCTCCTTCCAACCCGCTGTGCAACTCAGAGACAGGGTGGGAGAACTGCAAAGGAGCAGCACGACTGTATTCCCCATGTTTAATAGGAGGGCCATGGGGGAACGGTCGGTCTAGCTCAGGGTTGGGACCTGCTGTTCCAAACAATGCGGTCAGTGATCTCTGTTGGGTCACGGAGAGAAGGCGGGGATCATAGGATTTGCTTGCTCCATTTATTCCTGTAAAGTCAGAATGCCGCTCGTCCTGCATCAGCAAAACTCTGAGAGCAGAGAGACGATGCTTGGCAACCGGTGGGTGCGAGATGTTTCTACACTATTGTAAGCCTTGTCATCTGTCAGACAATGCGCCGGGGAAAGAGCCCTATAAAAGTCGCATCTTTTCAGCATTTTCCCCCTATGGCCGCTTCGGGGGGAGAAGGGAAAGAGCGCATGGAAGAGAAGGCCGGAGGCATCGGGGCACCGAGCACTTGACTGGCTTCTGTCTCGGATCATGGTGGACCCAGTGACCGACTGCTAAAGGTAAGGTGGACGAGGCTCGGCTCGGACCGAACTCACGAAGGCTTCCTTCGCGCCAGTCGGTCTCCCTTTGCTCTGCGGAAGAGGTTGGCATCACCAGGCTTGCCATCGATAAAAAAAATGTGCTACAAACCCCAACACTCTAAGCTAAAACCCCTTTGTGCCTCTGAGTGATGGGTGAACTCTTTTTTTTAGCGCAAAACCCTGGTGTGAATAAGGACATTTTCTTACGGCATGAGCCTCTTTGACCTCGAGATGCTCGGAACAGTGACATTTCTGTGTACAAGTCCTGGGAGCTGTTTTGTTGAAGTATCCATCACAAACTTGCTGTCCTTTGTACTCACAACTTTCCTTAACGTATACAACTTGTATACACAAGGTCCCTTCACGTATGTTGTAGTGAACGAATTTTACGAAGCGACTTGAATGAATTTTTTCCTCACGTGCCCTGTTCCATGCAACCTCCCTGTGCCAACTGTTCAAACACAGTCTCTCCTGGTAAAAGGTTAGGAAACGTAACTGCCTTTTTTTACAGAGAGGGAGCAAAAAATCTTCCTTTTCTGGATGTGCCTCTTGCAAACCAACAAGAAAAAAGCAAGGTTAGCCGATCCCATTCAGGCAGATCTTTTGCCAATCTGCTCGTTCACTTATCCAGCCTGGGCTTGATTTCCTTCCTTCCCTTTTCCCCAAGAGATCTTTCCTGGGAACGATTGTGCCTTCACGTTTTGCTTGTAGGTGGATGAAGTAGTCCTGAGACCATCGATATTTCTGAGTCCTAAACTCTCACGGCCACACAAAGGCCTTTCTGTACCGTTCAGCCCATCCTGATCCTGGACAAATGGAAAATCTGCTCTTTCTGATCCCTTGAAAATCTTGAACTCCTTTTCATCCCTGTATTTGTTTCAGAATGCACAGCATGTGGAAAATGCACTTTGGATTTCCCCGTTGGACTTCATTTCAGTTGAGAGAAAAGTTGTGGACCTTGCTTTTAGAAGATGGTGCTTTACAAATGTTTACAGCTTGTCCTCTGGATTAATTAGGTTTTACATTTCATTTGGGTGATTTTGATGGCATTTGCAGGATGGCTTTGAGGCAGCACACTTAAAATGGGCCGTTGAATTCATCTTTAAATTTGCACCACACGTTGAACCGCAAACTTTCCAAAAAGGCTGTGTTTGTGCAGTAGGCTCAAGTTCAAAAATCTCACCAGAGTTAAAATAAACCAGACTTGGCATCTTGTCTGAAAGCAGCCACTAATTTGTTTTCACAATTGCCATCAGTTGACCGTTGTAGACAATGATGTAGGCTCGATATCTCTCTACGGGTGGAATACAAAGCTTTGTATCTTCCCACAGGGCAGCACGTCTGTGACTGGAATACTGTCTTAATTCAGAAAATACAATTCCCCAGAAGGTAAGGAAAATAAGATTAGTGTTACGGCTGTGACGAGAGTGTGGCAGTGTGAGAATCACTGACCTCCCTGGCGGGGGGCTTTTGCTCTTCCCCAAATCCCCCTGTTGCAAAATTTGTTCTAGCAAAGAACAAGTAAGGAATTTCTTCCCATGACCGGTAATAATTTGGGTTGTGGATTGGACTGTGTGCATTTTAAAATGATTGTTGATCAGGCTGCTAGTTAGTCAGGAAACTAGCAAGGTTGAGCAGTGTTTCTCAACCTTGGCAACTTGAAGATGCGTGGACTTCAACTCCCAGAATTCCC